GAGAGAGAGAGAGAGCGCCATCGTGGGCATTGCCTAGCCCGATGTACAGAACCGTTACATGAACCGTACATGATATATATGTATAAATTCGTACATCAATTTACACAGACATATACAAACACAAACGTATACTGTAAAAATGACGAATTGGCTAGGTGACACTTTCGGCCAATATTCGTGCCTATTTTTATGAACGTGCCCGAGTCTATCGGAATCGGGCAAGTCAGACCCGCGTTTCCTTGCCTAGTCAACTTGTCATGTCTGCACAGTACATGAATATCCCCAACAGGGGATGGTATATTATATATAAATATACATATATACATATACACTTATACGAATAGATATAAATATGTGGAGATGAGGGTTGATCGAAATGCTTGGACAAGCAAGAGTAGATATTTTTTAAGGGTGTCTAAGACGAGCCTAAGATGTGCGACCAATCAGCCGCTACAATCTCCTCACTCTGTATTCGTTATCGAATGTGCGTAATCGTCGTGTAACTGAGTTTTAAGAGTTCGATCGAGTTCGCTTCGCGATACTCGTTGAATACGAATCAGGTAATTAGGCTAACTTTTCATTGACTGTGAAAACGTTATTAAGAATCGATGAGTTTTTTTGGTATATACGATCCATTGGTTGTCATTTCATCCGGTTTGTTATTATCGAAAATAGTTTTGGATAAATAATTCTTGAAACAAAAAATAAAATTCGAACAATTTTTTATTTTGTAGATACATTAAATAAAATATAATTTCGAATTCTTATTTGAATTCTTATTTCTTATTTTCTCTATTTTAATAACGTATAATCTAAAAGTATTATTTCAAATAAATATTTTCCACAGATGTATTGCTATATTGTTTTCTTTCAACAAAACTGTTTCAAAAACTAATTTCAATACCTATTGATTTACTCAATGTTCGAAACGTATATGTAACACGATTAATAACCAGCAGCAGCCGATGCTCGTTATATAATAACAATACCAATGTGTACAAACGATCTTTGCTGAAGTAACCTATTGGTTTCTATTCGATCACCAAAGTCAAGCTGTGCACTGGTTGCGGTTTAATACTTGGATGGGTGACCGCTTGAAAATTACTATATTATTTACGTATTATCGATGGTTCCAGAACATCTTGAATCTTGATATCGTTAAAATTTTTCATCACGATTCGCTGTTCACCTTTAGAAAAAGGAAAATTTCAGAGAATTGTTTTCAAAAAGGTGATAGTATCTCACCGTGTATCGCGAAGCAAAACTGCATATTGGCCAAGCGAAATAAGGCCGATTTATCTAGGTACTAAAAACGAAAATCGACCGTTCCTTAAAGGAACCATCATCTTCTTCATCGCGCGTAACGGAGACGCGCGATGTGACAAAGCGTGTTTAATAAAAGGAGAAACCGTTAATATAGCATACTAGGATTACGATAAGCAAAAATGGAACTGCCGGATGCGGCGGCCGAAGGGATGTGCAGACACTCAGAGTCGAATGGATACGAAACACGAACGGGGAAGGAAAAAAAAAAAAAAAGCAATCAATGGTCGATTCTAAAAGATCGTGAACGCAACTGCCTGCCTGCCCCTTCTTTTTCTACCTTGTCAATCATCAGTCGATTCGCGGATGAACGATGTGTGTTTGCTTTACGGTCTGCCAAGAATCGAACCTCTACTACCGTGTGCCTCCATAGTTTTCTCGAAGCGCGAGTTCCACCGCGCGATTCGCCACAAAAGTGTGGCGGGCATCGAGCGTTGGAACGCTTCGAATTCTTCTGAGCTCGGTCATGGCAAATTCTATGGCTCCTCGAATTTTTCGTTCGATACGTCGCTCCCTCAAAAGATTCTCCGCGTCGATTCTCATCGACGAGAATCCTCGAATCGTGACATGGATGCGTACGCATATGGAACATACGGTATACATACAAACACGCATTCTAGTTTGAATCAGTGTTGGCGACGTTTTACAGGGTATCAGGATGATTCGTGAAAGGGGGATCGGGGAAACTTGGTTAGCTGTGACAATAGGATGTGATATTTGGAATCAGTGATGCAGAACTCGAAACGAAGTTTTGTTTTGGTATTCGCTTCAGTGTGAAGATACTCTAGATTGTACAGAGGAAATCAAGTTGAAATCGTTGTTGGATCCATGGAATTTTTTATACATTGGCATCAATCAGTCATTAAACTCGAAATATTAACGTGTTCGGTCCGGATATTTAATGATGGCTGTTGAAAAAGGAGTACAATTGAAATGCAAAGGACTACAAATTGTAATATATTTGAAATATATTACATCCAAATATGCATAATTTTATTATTCATATCTTACATTATCAATTAACGATATGCATAAATAATATGTAATTTGTGTAATGTAACATATTATATGTTATGAACATTTTTTAAAATTTTTTCAATTTTGTCAAAAATTTATTTTCGATTTAAATGCATGGCCTCGATTTCAAACTATAATTATCAAATATCACAAAATCTTCTTTTAGAGGCCAATGATTGTATTAACTTCACTTTTTTTAAATTAAATATTAGTCTTTTAATAAATTTTATAATAAAAACTGTTAGAAGAAGAAAGTATTGCAATTTTTTAATTTTAATTTTAACGCATTTTTTTTTAAAGATTGAGAACTGCTGATTCATATTATGAATAATGAGACTATAGTCCATTGTGTTTTTAAAAATTTTATTCTCCATACAATTATGTGACAAATGTGTTGGATTATGATATGAACAAAGAAGTTCAGAATCATTAATATACATAATGATAAATTATAATGACTATTAGCAAAATTACCGTCAAAATAATTATTTGGATATTTTTATTTGAAATTTTAAGATACTGTCAATTTTATATAATTACTATATAATTGGGACGACATTTATCAAAAAATGGATAAAACATGGCCATACTGATCGAAGTGATCCAGACTGAACATATTAAAAAAAAGAAATCAATCGAAACTCATTTTCCGCCTTTGATTCGATATTTTAAATAAATAGAAGTTGCCAAAAGAATAGCTTAGAAGAAAACAAGAGCATGTGAAAACTGGTGATACTAATTCTCATAATTCTCTCATATCTTCAAATTATATATTTATATATAGTGATTCTTAATGTTTAGGTTAATATTTAGCACGATATATGAAAGCTTAAGTTTGTAATTATTATTGAATTTAATTATTTTTAACACAAAAAATTATTTTTTAATACAATTTACAATTTAAACAAGTCACATAAATTTTATATTTATGTTTACAAACACTGGTGAATCAATTGAATATAATGAATATGCAGTGAACAAACTATGATTTGATGTATATTAATTAGAATCACTGTACTAATATAAACATACCATCAGATATTAAATCCTCACCAACAAACTTGTTCCCTCACTATTACTCTGTGTCATCAGAAATTCTACAAATTCTCCGTGTTTTCTCTATTTTTGGCAAAAAATATGTATAAGTATTTCGATACGACATTGCCAGATGTCTCATTCCTCGTGCTCTCTCTCGAATGTGGTTTTTATCTACATCTTTTCAAATACAAATTTCAAATCTACACCTCTATCTAAAATATAACTTATAAGAGATGTCATACAAATTTTTACATTGAAAATTATGAAGAAGAAATAAAGGATATTATATTATATTATAGAGTCTAAGGTTAGATTAGCTTAGAGACAATGGTTGGCTTAACTTGGTTTGACTTGATTTTAACTTTTCAAACGTTTGAAATTCGAGTTTGAAGACAATTACAATTAGAAACGTTTATGAGTCTATTATTGTTACGTTTGATTGCACTTCTAAACCAACCTAACCTTAAAATAATACATCACAATAATGAAACATAATACACAACTATATGACTATAAATATGAATCGCGATGTTAATTACATCAATTTAATTTTACTTACTATTCTCAATATGAAAATTCCTTCAGCATTTTTGGTTATAACTAGGATTGTCAAGAAATTTCTCACAAGCATATCACAAGAGAAATTAACATACGAAATACATTACGTAACAACTTCGATCTGTTCTTCCTCTAATATCCCTCATCAGCTGTACGCCATCACCATGTTTTTTCTAACAAACGAATTAGTTTACCGATTATCCCTGAATCGTAGTCGCGAAAAGGATTCGTGTTCAAC